TAACTGGAAGTAGGGTATGTACCCTAAGTGGAGCATAACCTAATGGAACTTGCAGGGAGTTTTGTCATTTGAGTTGTGCGTGTCACTTAGTGGGTCATAATATAAAGGAACACGTCAGTTTTATAATAATTGAATTTTTGCTTTAGTGGGGAGATTACGCTTGAGGGAGGTGTCTTTCTGAAAATGATGTGAAATACATTCATGGAGGTTCAGTTCTAGGCATTAGGAACAGATGCTTCTGAACTAATCTCAGCTGTCACATTTCATGCATAAATCCTGGGGAATGAACAATATCAGGATTCCCTGGAAGAATTCCTGGAGGTTTAGCTTAATACTCTCTCCCAGGGAAGCATTCCACCTACTGACTTGAGGAATACTTCCAGGCCTTCCTGAAGGCCTTCTCTAATGCTGATCCAAATAAGGCCAGGGGAGAGATGACAAAAACCATATATTGCAATGCAGTGGAGCACTGAGATGGCAAGGCAGAATCACATAGCCTCAAACAGTTGCAGTGATTTCAACAGAAGTGAAATCATGAGATGATTTTACATTAAAAATGGAGAGTCATCAGCACCTGGTTAAGGAACAATCACAGCTCCATAATTATGATTGAGCTGTAATAGCTGGCAAAAATGCATATGATTTAAAATTAAAAAAAAATTATTATCTTGTCTAGCAAAAGTCCACCTTCCTTTTTTAAGTATTTCAGTGACTATTCAGAAAAGCTTTTATTAAAAATAAACTACAATTGGAATAAGTAAAAAAGTCACTGTTGTCCAAAACCAGAGGTGCTTGTGATGGATACTTCAATAAACTCTGTAACTGTAGGTGAATTGACAGCTCTGCTTTTAATATGTTAACAACTTTTCTTTCACTTGTAATATATAAAATATGTTGGGGTCATATGAAAAAAATCAGAGAAAATATTTGCTTAAGCCTCTGTTAGAATGAGTTGCTGTCTAAACAAAAGATAAGAGAGGGAGTTTTGCAGCAGTTCTCCTCCATCTACATGGATTTTTTTGCGATGAGATTATAATATATGTTAACATTATGCTGACATGGACGGCTCTAGCCAATAGGTTAAAATTGTTAGGTAGTTTGTCTTTTTGACAGATCTTGTCTCCACGTCTGGCAATTTATATGACCTTCCAACTCTGATATTTTCCTTGCCACTGCCTGTCCTAAGTGGCTCCTTTCTACGTACCAGCCCCACTTCATTCTTAGAGCCTGACGAAGCAGCCCATGCTTCGTTGAACCTGCAAGGAGGCCCACTGGGTCACTGTAGGTATTAAATACTGCTTTATTCTGTTGAGTGTTAAATTGTTTGCTCAGTTCTTGAACATATTGTGTTAAATTAATGTTTCAAGCTAATTTAAAAATTCAGTTTCTTGTAGGAAGGGACATGGTGACATGATACAAAACATATCCTATTTCCCATTATTTTCACTTTATAATTTAGTACATAGAATGATTCATAAAAACCTAAGCCAAAGCTAGACATGTTCTGCATGATAGCTGAATTAAACTGCAGAATGCATCTGCTAAATGTCACTTGTGCAGACTTTTCTCCTGTGTTCCGTAACGCTTAGGGTTTGTTGTTGAACCTTGCAAGAAAGTGCTTGCGTGCATTTGTATGTATAAATGGGTTTTTTTTGGAGTATTTCATCCTGTTACATATCTGCACATGTATGCTTATATATCTGTTTGTGTGTTAATTTAATCAAAGCCTTATTAATAGCAGCTTAGTTGGTTTTCACAAGGAGAGGCTTACTAAAAACAGTTTATGCTAGTGAATTAGTTTTCACAGGCCAGTCAAAGCTCTTGGGAGCTTTGCTTCTTAGACCCATCACAGGTTTTCTTCCCACAGCATTGCAGTTGCTATGCAGTCCATTGGTAATTCCCAGCTCTTTAATAGGTGTGTCATACAAAAAGCATTTGCATTATGATAGTGAGGTTTAAAGAAACTTGAGTCGCAAGTTATATAAACCAGTCCTTTCTGGAGTTTTGACCAAGTCTCCAAACAGAATCTAAAACAAGGGGGGAAGTGAAGATGCAACTCTGATATACTGAGTCTGAATGGAAGGAAGCAATAACTAACTGATGTCCTTAGTGGTACTTGAGAGACTTGAAAAGAAATGAGAGATTCATCCTAGGAAATGGGTGTCTAAATTGGTTTTAAACCATTTTAGAGAATTAATGTCTATTCTTGGCATCAGCTAGAACAGGACAACCTACAGGACTTTTTAACATATTCTTCCTATGATAGACAAGAAAGGAAAGACTTGTGCGTTAGGACACTGGTGCTTACGTCAGAGTTCAAAATTGCCTGTGTTATCTAGAGAACATGCAACTGGGCTCCTGTGATGCTTCTCTGCTTTAGAAGAGACAGGACTATCAGAACTGTAGTAAAGAGCAAGTCTGGCTCTCTAGACCAAAGTCAACCTTTGAGTGAAATACCTTCCCACCTACCATTTTTGAAATGTATGTAATTTTTGCTCAGCAGTGGAAATAAGTCACAACATTGCTATATGATGTCATCTGCATCCCCTAAATCTTTTCAGGCCTACAGATGGCAGTAAGAAAAAAAAATATGTGCGAGCATGGGAAATAAAATTGAAAGAAGCTTGAAAATAGTTTGTCCAGTGGATTTACAACACTTGCAGGTGGGTAGCAGGTCATCCAGGATCCACAGACTTTGTCTGTTATCTGTGGCATTATGGCATATTTTCAGGGACTGAATTGATCTTACACAAAGAACTAATGCATAGCATTTTTACAGTTACAGAACTGGTGGTTTTTTTGTTTATTGTCAATGAGCTTGAGATTAAGTAATTAGGGTAGGTGATTAATAAACTCTGATCCTTTTACTAAATATCTTACAAAGATCTTTATAATGCTTTAATGATTCCAAAGAAAAGCGATTCATTTTGCTTAACTTATACTCTACAAACTTTGTGGCAGGGTCTTTTTCTATATAGATTTTTTTTTACTTCACTTGCTGTTACAAACATCTTTCAGTCCACATTTTTTTTGTGTCTTTTTGGGCAAGCCCAGGTCCCTAGATCTTCAAGGTACAGTCTGTCTACATATAGTGTGGCTTAACTTCTTGCTTGTGCATACAGCTTCCTTTTTGGACAAAACCTTATGGAGTCAAGAAAGGATTCATGCCCTGATTTTTGATGGTCATAATACATAGTATTACAGTAATACCTCTGGGTTTGAGCTGGTAAGAGAAAGAGAAGGCTGTCAAATAATTTTTATTCTTCTAAAGAAGAGAAATAATACTTGAAAAGAGCTGAAAAGTCATGCTTTCTCCTACGGTATGTCATAGAAGTAGGAGGAGATTGGATTTTGTCATGTTCTCTATTAAAGGATATCCGACTTGCCTATACATCTCCAGTATTTATGCCAACCTGTAAAATCATTGGTGAGTTTTGTTCTCTTAGACTTTTCTTTTAAAAGTATTCTTACTTGCCTGCAGCTAAGGACTTAATTGTTGCTGCTTTGCTGTTTGCTAATAGGCAAGAAGCCAGCTATTGATAGAAGACACATATGGGTGTTTGCCTGCCTCTTATTCTTTGTACAGTTGGAAAGGTGAAATTACAAGCTGAGAAGTGTAGAGATAGAAGATAGAGCACTGAATTATTTAGTACTTTACTGTCTGCTTTTTTTGAATACCACCATTACCCTAGGAGGAAGAACTAAGACTGCCTAACTCTTAACCAGCTGAGAGACAGCATGGAAAGGTAAAGACAGTAGAAATTTCCTTATACAGGACTGGTGAGTGTCTGAATGTATTTTGAAGGACAGAGAAGCCAGGTTCAACTTTTTTGCCCATGGAGAAGGTAGGAAAGGCTGGCTCAAAGAAGTCCTTAATTTGAATTAGTGCAAGTTAGTGAGGTATTTTTTTGTTGGGAAGGAATTGCTGCTGTTCACTGCATAACTCTGCTTTTGTGGCTTAGTTTCTGTCAAGAGAAGCAAATTCAGGAAAAAAAAAAAATAGAAACTCTCACATCTGGTATTAACTATTTGAATTGGTTCCCTTGTCCCAGTCAGGAAAGGAGCAAATAGGCTACTCCTGCAACATGGCCTGTTTTGTGCCAGCCTGCCCTTTCCTTTTATATCCCTGCTTGGATCAGCCATGCAATAGACAGAAACCTTTTAAATCCTGTAATGTGGCACAGTGGGCAGCTAGGCTTTTTAATAAATGAACCATCTTTCAGAAGATATCCCTCAAATTTCAGTTTTAATGAACCCAGGTTACTCAGGGGGAAAAAAAATGGGTTAAAATGCAGCCACTCAAGCATGACAAAAATCAAGAGCAAAGTCTGAGGAGAAGCTGGATAGAAGCAGTTTTATTCTCTGCAAGGTTTGAAATGGTCACAACAACATGTCTGTCCTTGAGTTCATCAGAGCCTTTTCAATGGGGACTGTCATGGTTTAAACCCAGTCAGGTAATTCGTTCGCTCACTTCCCCCCCTTTCTTGCCCTCCCCCTGCTCCTGGAGGGACGGAGAGGAGAATCGAAAAGAATGCAACTCCCACAGGTTGAGATAAGAACAGTTTAGTAACTAAGGTATAACACAAATCACTACTGCTACCACCAATGATAATAATGATAAAGGAAATAACAAGGGAAGAGAAAGCAACACCTCAGCACCAGCCGACCGATAACACGCCTCTCTCAGCCCGACCAAGCACCGACCGATACCTCCTCCAACCCTGCAGTCTCCCAGCCCTTCCAGCTAACTCCCAGTTACATCCTGGGCATGACGTGCTGTGGTATGGAATAGCTCTTTGGTCAGTTTGGGTCAGGTGTCCTGTCTCTGCTTCCTCCCGGCTTCCCCTCCCCCCTGGCAGAGCATGAGGCTCACAAAGTCCTTGGCCAAACCAAAACATCGCTATCAGCTCTGTTCCCAGGCCGAAAGTCAAAACACAGCACTGCATCAGCTACCAAGGAGGAGAAACATGGCTGCTACTGCTGAACCCAGGACAGGGACACTTGTTTCCTTTCTGGGGAGCCATGCCTTGTTTCAAATTAGATGTTGCACCAACTCCTGCCTGCTTCAGGCTTTGCTGCACGGCTGCTCTGCCAGCTTTGTATGCGCATTGCCAGCACATCACATTTGATCAGAATGAAAGTCACTCCAGAGTACGTCTAATCAGGCAGGGCTTCAGAACAACTTGAAGGCTATAAAGCTGACCTCTGGAGGCTGTAGTGTTGCCGCTGGGAACAAAGAAGAAAAGTATGTAGGTTTTTGAGGTCTGTATACCATGTTGTAATAACCATTTAAACAAAATATAAGAAAGGAAGGATAGGAGTAGAAGGAAAGAAAATGCCATCTGGACTTAAACTGCTTTTATCCAGATGTCATCTGGATGTACAGTATAAGTTTGTCAGGTTAATTTAATTCTGTAGTTGGAAGTCTGGCTCAGTGTTGGAAATTTTGTCTTGAAGTTGCAGGAAGAGTAATATTAGATGCTTTATCCTTCTAGTGTGTATAAAAGACTTTATTATATCACTTTTCATTGTTTATATTAAACTAGCTTATGGTAGCCCCAGTCTCAATTGTGATTTGCATTAGTCTGTGTGTTTGGTGGAGATAGCATCTACCCTGAGGGGCTCTTGATGTAGCTGGAAAGCCAGAAGAGCTGAAGAAGTGAAGTGCTTGGTGGTGGTTAGTCAGGAGAACAGCTCAGGTCCCTGTTCACAGGGCTGACTTTGCCCTGCAGTTATGGGAAAAAGCTTCTGGGCAGATACTTTATAATAATGAAGGTGGTATGAAAAGCACAAGACAAGTCTAGGTATTTTAATTTATGGCCCGCACTGTAAATAATTCATTAGCAATAGGGAGTCTGTTCACTTTGTAATAAAAATGGGAAGTCTGCCTGCTTCATTTTGTAAGACAGCTGTCACTCCTAAGTTGTCAGGCTCACTCCTGCCCTTCCAGTTGAAACAGTAATGTTGAGGATGGGAACTGTGCCTCCCTCTTCTTAACAGGGGATTCTGAACCAATTCCTAGTCTTTTCCATTGGGGTAACTTTTATTCAGGCCCAATTTAGCATTTGTATATTTGCTGCTTTGAAATGCTCAAGAGAATACCTGAGTATGTTGTATTCTGCCAAATGCCGTTTCAGCTTCCTTGTGCTATCACCTGAGGGTGAGACACCTAGTGGAGGTACAGCTGACGAGATCTGTGCTCTTAGTAGAAATGATACTAAAATCTGTTTCTGATTATCCCAAGAGGTTTGTGACCTGAGCAGGTGTCAGATTTTTAACCATGGAATTCATGAAACCTTTGAAAACTGAGTTGTCTGTTAAGATTCTTGGGAAAACGAAACTTACTACATGGTAAGTGTAAAATTCTACCTGTAAGGTAGAATTCTCAAAGACCAGTTTCTAGATAGAAAGGTCCTCTCAAGTGATAAGATTGTGAGAAAACCAAATAGGGCAGATGATCATGATGATGATTTTCAGTTAAAATCCTTCTTGAAGACAGCAGACTTTGGTGTGTAAAGCTCCTTCAGTGTTTTGTGACCTAGGAGTCTAGAAGAATTTCCACCTTACTGGAATTACGGGCACTTAGAAAACAGGAAAAACAGAGACTACATTATTGATAGTCAAATAGCAGGGACGTGTGCAGCTTTGAATTTATTGGAATGAAGGCACTGCAGTTGGAACTAGTTTTTAAATTACACTGTTTTCAAAATCAACTATAGGATGTCAAAAATATTTCTGGGCTTCTTCATAATGTTTCAGTAGCAATGGATCGGTCACTTTGGTTGTGTTTCAGATGCTTGAATATTAGCTGTTGAGACTAACATAAACAGCAGTCGCATTACAAGTCTCCCAGTATATTGTGTTCACACAGTGCTTCACTGCATATGTACAAAAAGTTTTCTTTGAGGGATACACAGTAATCTTGTTTTGCTTGTCCAGTCCCAGACCATCTGACCCAGACTGTCAGCAAGGTTTCCTGTAATTTAGGATTTGGTGGTGACTTGAAATATTGGGCGTTTGTCTGCAGGACAATTCAGTAAGACCAAATACCTTGGGTTTTAATGTGTAGTACACTGGTCCAGAAGGATTAATACGGATGGATCTCCTCCAATCAGCTGCTTTAAAATGAAGATGATAAAATAGAATGCACCAAAACTGTAGTTTTGGTGTGTCTAGGTGTCCAATATCTTCAGTTTAAATTATTTTAAAGAAATGGCAGCCCCCTGCACTACACTGTCAAAATAAGCATGGAGTTTGAAAGAAACCACATTTGGGTAACCACTGAAAGCAGTGCAGAAAATGCACTTCGGCTGCCAGTGATTACTCTGTTTCTCTGGCCAAAAAAAAAATCACATCCATCCAATTTCTACCTTATTTCTTCAGCTACATTTAGGTTTTATGGGTTCTGCTGGTCCTCCTGTAGTTTATCTTGCTTCCATTCTGGAAAGCTGGGTAAATCTTTGCTTAAATTTCATCAGAACACACCAGGATAATGGCAGATATCAAAGTTATGAGAGCCTGTGTCCCAAAGCAGCTATTCAGTTGTTCTGTTCTCTAGAGACTTTGCTGATTGAGGGTAATGCTGCTTTTCTTTCTCCTCTCCGAAGGAGTGATGCATTCCCTAGTGGCTTACCAGAAATCACTGGGCTTGGGAGCAGTTTCTTAGCTCTCATAGGATGAAAGAAAAAGTGAATAAATCTTACATTTATAGGACATAAAGAGAAATTACTGTCTACCTTGACTGTATGCCTTCTCCTCAATGCTAAACTTACTGGGGAAAAAAAGAAGCAGTCCAAATCTATCCTCATTCCTTTATTGTGTGCAGTGTAGTTTGAGGATGGTGGATTGTTATGTTCTTTCTGTTGCCACCCAGTAATGAGGAATGTAAGTCGTGATGATACAGCATCACAAGAAGAAATCAGCAGACAATTTCCTTCAAATGCTACAGTTCAACTTTCAAAACATGCCTTGCTTCATCAGATAAGTAAGAGAGCGTTTAGTGTCAGAATGCAAATCTCATTTCTAATCCACAGTGGGCTTGAGATGTTTCCTGCTAGGAGCATTTATTTGGGCAGGCCCAAGAGGTTGTGACCTCTGTTATATAGCAGGCTGTCTGGTTCAAGAGAGATGTTATTGGAGCACAGCAAATGCAAAATAGCATCTTCACTTTTTGACAGGTTATTGTTAAATTGTTAAAAATATTTGCTGCTACTGCCATTCCTCCTCTAAATTTTCTCCGAGATCATCTTTGTACAGATCAGTTGGGTTGTTACTGTTACTGTTTACTCTGGACCTTTAGAAAATACTTAAATTAGGTTGTCTTTCAGGTTTTAAATCACTTGGATGAGTATGTCCAAACCAGGTGGCTTGCTGTAGTAGCTGATAAACATCTAGCAAGAGCAAGAAAAGTTTACAGATCATATGTATTCTTTGTAGCAACGCTATAGGCTTAGCCCTCAGAGTGCTTGTAAGCCAGATGATGTTAGCAACACTTCGTGCCTACTGCAGTATTTGGTAGGCAGACACAAATGGTTTTCAACAAGTACTTTACATCTTACCACAGAACCTCTGAAAAAAATGGGCTTTCATTAGGTAAATAAGCAAGCATCACATGCCAGAATGCAAATCCCTTTCAGTTCTTACACTCACCCTATTTCCTCTGCAATCTTCCCACTGAGCCCAAAAGGTGGGAATAGATGCTAGATTCTGTCTCGGATTAGGAATTTGAAATTTTTCAGGCAGGGGGGTTTACAGCATTGCTGTATGAGTGATCAGGGATACTGGTTATGAAATTATTTGAGTGCAACCCTGCAAGCTTTTAGGGATGGCTCATTTGCTTGTAGATGTCCCAGTGAGGATTAGCATTTCTTACCTGCAAGCTACAGTACATTTAATAAGCCACCGAATCAGTGGATTCTGCTGTGGAACTGTCAATGTTTGTTCTAGCAGATATGTCTATACTGGAGTGTGCAAAGCCTCCAAGAGCACTACAGCAGGTCTGTCAGCTCCGGCTCCCCAGTAGCACACTTCCACGCACTTTTGCCTTTAATTTTGTGTTATTACCTCTTGCTGTTTTAAACTGCAGTGTCCTTTTCCCTCCATGCTCTCCCTAATGATAACAAGCTGACAGAGCTGATGATACTAGGAGCTGGGTGGAATGCAGGGAAAACAACCTGGTAATACAAGCATGCAGCAGGGCAATTACCTGAAGCTGTGATCTGCAGATGCTGCTCTCTGTCTGAGGAAACCAGTCATTTCAGCCAGCGGGCTGGAGGTGAGGGCTGCTAGTGCAGGAAGGCAGTTCATGTGCTTTACGGTTAGTGGTGGCTGGTGACCAACTTGTTCTGGCTTAAAGGAGCACTCTCCTTAGCTGGAGATGTGATATTTTTACATCCCTGCGATACCACTGTTGTACCGGGGGGTGGGGTGGGCTGTGGGATGTGTGTGTGTAAGTATTTTTATGTCTGTACTTTAAGCATAGGTCATATCCCAGTGCTGTGTGTGCACTTACAGCTAGCCCTACCACCTTTGCTTTTGTAATCAGGCTGCAGATGTGCTTCATGATTGAGCAACTTCTGTGCACCGCCGCTTCTCCTCCCAGAGGAGTCCAGCAGGCTTGCTTATGCAAGCTGTCATGCTGCCTTTTTCTTTCCAAAAGCATGTGTGGGTTTGCTTTTTTTGTGTTCATCTGGCTCGCTGTTTGTGCCTGCAGATAATGGGCTCTCTATATAAAAATGTTCCCAAGCACATGGCTGCGGAAACAGTTTCCTTAAGCCCGACACAACCGCCACTCCATGCAGCTCAAGCCACCATAAATGACAAGAACCTGCTTGCCCCTTCCTGAAGCCATGCAGGCGTGCACACATGCTCGCTTGCTTTCCCCCTCTCACAGTCAGAGATGATATAAAGTCTTCTGGGGATTACTGCACATTTGTAGAGCAACAATGGAAAGCAGCACAGCACAAATAATCTATTCTTCCTCACCCAGCATAACAAACGCTGCTTTGTCTCACATCTGGCCCTTTTTAATAGCTCAAAGCCAACAGCAGTAGCTATTTAGCAGCTTATGGTAAATAAAGCTTTATTAAAACAACTTCCTTTTTCAAGTGTTTAATGATTAAAACAGCCTTTCACCTTTTTTTTTTTTTTTTTTTTTTAATACAACGGTATCTAGCAGGGGAAATAGGTGTTACGGATGGGTATTAAACTTTTCCCAGAAAATAATATTTAAGAGAGCATCATTCAAAATTCTGTTATTGAAAAGCAGGCTGAAAGACCTTTTACTGCCGTGTTGAGGACACAGGACGGTGCCCCTGTGCATGTGTAGCTGCTGAGTTTTGCTGTACCGGCGCACTGAGGTCTGCCTCCAGGTCTGAGCGTTCCGCGGGTTTTCATGTGCCCTAGCCTAATGCCGAAAAGAAGAATTAAGGCAATTATGGTATTTATCTGTGCGTACACACGGAGGTATGTTCCGACAGTCAAGAAACAACTTCTTTTAAGAGGTGTTTAATGTTCAGGAGAACTTCAAGTGGAATTAGGTAGGGTTCGTCGCTGGACTGCCACGTTTTACCGCCAGGACCGGGCGCTGAGGGAACCGATATTTATGAAATTTGCCATCGGAGGAGGCAGGCTTCCCAGAGCCGCTGGGCTGTGTCACACCCGGCTCCCTAGGGATCCGTGCTTCCAGGACACGGAAAGCCGCTTTTCCGGCCCGCGCTCCCTCAGGGCGGCGGCGGCCGGGCCCACAGCCCCGCGGCAAGCGGGCGGGTGGCGGCGCGGCCCTGCGGCGCCCTCTGCCGGCGCGGCGGGGAGCGGGCTCCGCGGCCCCGACTCCCTCACGTCCCGGGGCCCCCTGCCCGGGCCGGCGCATGCCTGTGCCCTCGCTCGGTGCTTCCCGCCCGACTGACGGCAGCTCTGCTGGGGCCTCCTTACCCCGCCCCTCTTGGCGCCGCGGCCTGTGGCCCTGAACTCCCTGCCCGGCGCAGTCCCGAAGTCTTTAGCCAGCGCAGTTCTCTCCTGCCCTCCTCTATCTTGCTTGTTGCTTGATCAAAGTCACTTGTTAGATAGAAACAGTCTGTCCTCTTGCACAGCCCTCAGCACACTGGAGACACTCAGGAAATTACTATTTTTAACTGACTCAGTCAGCAGTATTAACCAGCTTCTGTCCTGGGCTGGGCTGGGCCTGGGAGGGGAAGAGGGATGTTTGAAAACTGCTGTATTGAATTCCTGCTTAAGGAAGTTTCCTTCTTCCTCTCACCTACTTAGTAGTACTTGTTGACTGTGTGTCTCTTTTCATGTCCTCCTTCCATTGAGGGGTTCAAAGTGGCTCTAAATTGTTAGTTACAGCAAACATGGTTCCCCAGAAGGTGGCTGGCCATGTGTTCGTCACCTGTGGAAAGGGAAACCCAGTGTAATACAGTGCTGCTGGCCCTCCCAACACCTCTCACAGCAGCCATTCGTCTGCCTCACCTCTGTCCTTGGAAGGATTGCCTTTTCTTCTGTGCTCTTAAAATGGCTTTCTGAAGGAAGGATTATTTGTTAAAAGCTTGATTTCTAAGGAAATAGTACAGGCTTGCCCAGGTGAGGGGTGGGAGGCAGTGCTTGCTCAGGCTGTGGGGCCTGCGCCACCCTTGGCTGAGCAGCAGGTGACATGTTTCAGTGGGCTCTGCTTGTGTTTGTGCCTGACGGTGAGGGAAGGAAGAGTGAAAAGCACCATGTGAAGAGTGTCTAAACTTGGGGAGAAAGTCAGGCCTGGTTCAGTTGGTGACTCAGGTCTCCCTTGGCCACAGGTGACCTGGTTTCCATGGTCTGTTGGTCCCTGGGTACCAGAGCTCTTGATGTGGATGATAGCCCTGGTGGCAAGCAAAGCTCATCCCAGAGCAGAACTGAAACCACTCTTACTTTCAAACTGCAGTGCATCTTCAGATATGTCAGTGTTTTGAAGCTGTGTTGAAACGTTTGGTTTTTTTATTATTTTTTTAAGAGACTGTTTAGGCTGCCTTAGGAGCTAACTGGCAAGGGACCATGTTCTACTACATTGCTCTTCTTAAAGGCGTTATTGGAATTCCAGTTTCTGACACAGTAATTGCAAACTCCTAACTTGAACTTTCAACCAACACAGAGTATAGCAGAGTATACCCTCTACATAATTTCATTCTTTTTTTTCAACATGGAAGAGGGTTTTGTAGTAATGGTTTAAGGAAAAAGATTCAGTATGTTTAGAGTTGAAAAGTAACAGGTCGATGCATCTGTTCCTTTAAAAAACCACATTCTCCATTTTTGAGACATCATAAATATGTAAATGAGGGCTCTTTAATTATTGCCTAGGGCTATAAACTCGCAATGCTAGAGGGGAGGGAAGGAGGAAGGCAAAGAATAACTCACATAATTTTTTTTTTTTTAAGAGTCAGAAAAGGCAGCAGAGGAATGGGGATTTTTATTGTTGAATTACCAGAAGGTGCTGGCAGCACTTCTTCTGTTTATCTTTTTAGATGGAGTTAGCATATATAGCAGTAGTGTACGACCTTCCTGTGTGTACACCAAACAGAGGGGATTTGTTAGGAAGCATGGGGTGAAATTCCCTTTTCCATCCCACTCTGCCAGTACCTTTAATCCCTATCAGCAACATCCCCTGCTGTCTCAAGCTGCTCCAGCGCCTCAGTATTAACGTGATTTCTAGTGCAGGTTCACCAGGGCTACCGAGGGACCCTGCAAAGTCATTTTCACTTGTGACCTGATAAGCACTCGACATTTAACGGAATAGAAGTCAGCTCTTACAAAAAGGCTGGCAGGGCTGAGTATCTTAAGCACTATTATTTTTGGGTAAGGTGATCTTGCTGCTACTTTCAAACCAGCGTGAGATTGACAGAAAGGGCAGGGGTTTGTATTTCAGGATGTGAATGTGAACCAGACCAGTGTACAGCAGAACCTGTATAGAAGGTGTAGTTACTGGAAACAGTTCTGCTGCTATTTTTTCCAGGTAAAATGGTCTGGTGTCAAAGTTCTTATTCTGCCTTGGTAAAACTTCATATTCGTATGATAATTTTCACTTTCCACATTTAATCTTTTAATTCTTGCTGAGGCCTATGAAAGAATAATTTCCAGATGATAATGGTTTCCCACTAATGAGCTCTGCGTTTTTATAACAGAAATAACTTAGAGTCAGTATGCTCACTGAAAAAGTTATTCTATTTGATGCTTTTATGGTGTATCTGAGTGAAAAGTAAAAATTATTCTGATCAGGGTGAGGCAGGATATTTCCAGTACAAACTATTAATGTCATTGTATGTATGTGATGAGGCTTCATATGTATAATTTTGGCTGTTTGGTTCATGCAGCAAATGTTTACTGCCTGGGGGAGTTAGTGGGCTGAGGAGCTTCTCTTGACCAGAAGAGAATAACTGAGCTTGGGCTGGTGAAAGTAGCAAACCAGTGATATAAAGGGCTAATGGGTGTCTGTCCACACAGTGAGGAGGAAAAGGTGGAAGGAGCCTGGCAAAGCGAAAGGCTGTTTCTACCAGAGAACACTTGTGATGTGAGAACAAGTGGAGTTGAGGATGGAAGTGAAAATACTTCTAGCTACTAGGGGGAAGGGTGAGAGTGCTTTTCAGTGGGAGCCCTTGGGTGCTAAAAGCAGAACTATTTTTGTGATTGAATTTGATCAGTTTATAACAGAAATTGTATGGCATGTCTGTGTAGGAGAGCAGGGGACTACAGTTCCAGTCCTGCCTTCAAGAGCCCCATCAGGCTCCAGCTCAGTCATGCGAGTTAGTTCTGTGCGCCCTGCCCTCTGTTTTTTCCAAGTGGGCTTTGAGAAGCTATGCTGTATGGGAGAAATGACAATCTGGACAAGTACAATATTAAGCTGTGGTTGAGGTAGCTAACCTTCAGTTTTCTTTGTGGTTAACTGGAAGGCAGTGAATTGGGGTGATATTATATGTACAGTTCATAAATCAACATGCAGGATACTTTGTTGGCCTGAGTGACAGTACATGAATGCAAGTCATTGTCACTGTCTCTGTAAAATCTCTCTGCAGTCTCCCAGCCCTGAACTATGCTGCTAATAACACCAGAAGCAGCTCCTGATGCCGCTAGCCATGAGTCTGAGTGCTGGTTTATCTGGGTTTGCACGCCAGTTTACATTTCTCCAAATATTTCAACAAAAGTGTGTATGTATGTATACATTTGTGATTGTTTTCAGCCTGCCCTTCTCCATCTGTTCTGATGTTCAATTAAAATGCAGATAATGTGTCCCAGCTTGTAAGATGGATCACCGCTGAATTGGTGTCATGTCTGGGCTAGCTTATCTCTTGATAAATACCTCTGCTGTCCACTGAGACATTAAACTTCATGACTACTGAGGTCTGTTTGGGGGTCTTACAGGCAGATAAGACTCTGTTAGTCACTTTTAATAAAATATATCAATTTACATTTGCTAAAGGACATTTGGATGGCATTTGCTATTGAGAAGGTGGTAGTGGCATAATCAAAAGAGAATACTTGTATGTGAAACTGGCTTTTCCATTTTGTAAGTATTATAATTTATTGACAGGAGTGCTTTATTGAACCCTCTTGTGTCTAGAGCTTGGAGGTGAGGAGCTTGAGCTGCTGTTATAAGACCTCATTTAGCTGTCTAGCAGAAAAGATTTCTTTCCCTGAGTCTAATCTGGCAGGAGCCATGAAGAACATTATCAGCTAGATATAGAAATCTCAGGCAGCTTTGGTGTGTGGGACGCATGCGGATGCTGTGGTCTGGAGTCTGTCTCGCCCTGACAGCCGTGCAGTCAGGATTCCCACCACCAGGAACACTCTTTCTGGGAGCTGAGAATGGACAGTGATGGACTTGCAGAGGTGTTTTAACTCCAGGGATGTTGAGTCGTGTGTACTAGGAGTGGTGAGTGCCAGCTTCCCTAACTGAACAACTATCTGAAAAATTTGCTGTCTCTTCTGTGTATGTAAGGAGTGGAGAAGAGTTTTGTCAAGGACAACTGTCCGAATAACTGCTCAGTGCCACTGAAGCAGTTCGTAAGGGGGAGGTATCTGTTCGTGTCTGGGATCTTGCTTGTGCTGATGTAAAGTTTTACATAAATACTGCCATTTGGGTATATATATCTCTGAATCTGTGCCCAGTCTCTGTTCATGAGTGTGACAGTACAACTTCTTAGACTGTGCTGCTCATGTCACAGGAAAAGGATACAGGAATTTGTAGTCAAAAGACTGCTTTCATGTTCCAGTGCGGAATATCTGTGGTTTCATTTCCATTTTAGATTCCATGACAGTGATTGAAACAGCAGAGTATACATATATATATACACATATATATATATATATATGTAAAACATTTCTGTGCCCCTGGGAAGTGAACTTCATAAAAAATCACTTAAAACTGGTTAGCTTATTAAGTACAGGCTGAAATCTCATGCAGTTCTATGTAAAACATAATGGATTGAAACTGTTGATTAGTTGTTTGTTTCTGTCTTTATGATCTACTGTTCTGCCACTACAGAAAAAACTGTAAGGAAAGGCTGGAGAGGTGAGTGAGTGTAAGGGTCCTAGTGAAATGCAAACCATGCCCAAACCAGGAGGCTTACTTATGCTTGCTTGTGCTTTTAGTGTCTTGTTATTAGTCCAAGTTTGAGTGGCA